TCACAGCACTTACAATGCAAGACTCCAAATAGTTCAAAAACATTCAAAACAAAAGAAAAAAAAAAGACTCCAAAGAGCTAACAACTTATTTGGCTAGCGTTTTACCCTGGTCAGGATGATCTTCCCAATCATGTATTTATTTAATACGCTAATAAAGTTACTCAATAACTAAGCTGAATAAAAGGCCATACCTTTAGTAATTAAAGGATATCTTTGGTTGAATTTATTTGAACTAGTTTAAGTTTTGGTTTTTTTTTACTTTTTGACAAACCACTCCAGCGGCAGTGGTGGTTTTACTGTTTAGTACTGGCTCAGTTTAATTAAATTATACTGGTAGCTACATATTTTTTAACCTGTTGCACAACTGTTATTTCAAATGAATGTTTGATTCCTTTGTTAGCCTTAAAGCTAACTGATTTTGAGTAAACATTTTGAAAATGTGCCTTAATTGAATTATGAAGTCAAATGTTTATGAAATATAGCATTTATAGAATACATGTTTGTTTTTTATAATGGTTACAAACCATTTAAGCTAAAGCTAATTAAATTTATTTGACTATGTACTTAATTTATGTTTTTGACCTTTTAGGTCAGGTTTTATTGTCACCCCCATTAACAACATTCTACTATTGATGGCGAGCTACCACCTGACCACATTATGGTATGAAATAGACCTCTTTGTTGACTGTTTTTAGTCTTTATGTGTGTACAAATGTGTGTGTATATGTGTGTGTATATATGTGTGTGTATATGTGTGTGTACATATGTGTGTGTATATGTGTGTGTGTATATATGTGTGTGTGTGTGTGTGTGCGTGTGTGTGTGTGTGTGTGTGTGTGTGTGTATATGTGTGTGTATATCCGCGTCAGAGAGAGTCAGTTTCTTTATTTGTCATACACACCACATGTGGTACATGGGGTGGAATGAAATTGTGTACACAGGGTCCCAGTTATATCCAACAAAAGTATTAAATGTAAAAGAAAACAGTAATAAGATCTAAGATATGAACTAAGAATAACAATAACGAAAAATATGCTAAGCGCTATTAGTACAAATACAATATGCCAAAAAGCAGCACAACCATGAGTCTGTGTGAGCAGATGAGTACAGATGAACACAGCAGCATGAAATAAATCAGCAGCATGAAATAAATCAGCAGCATGACGTGAGTTTTAGGTGTGTTTGTTCCAGCTGAAGTCCACGACCATCTCCTTCATCTTCTTCACATTGATGTGAAGGTTGTTCTTCCTGTATCAGCTCTCCAGGTGTTCCACCTCTTGCCTGTAGCTGGACTCATCATTGTTTGTGATGCATCCCACCACCGCTGTATCATCTGCAAACTTTACAATATGGCAGCCTGGATGGGTAGCTGCACAGTCATACGTGAGCAGAGTGAAAAGGAGTGGGCTCAGCACACAGCCCTGAGGGGAGCCAGTGCTGAGGGTTATTTTTTTTTTTTTCCAACTCAATTCAACCTTTATTTCAAACGATAAATCATATTGAGCCTTGAAGACTCATTTACAAGTGAGACCTGTTTGGACAGACAATAAAAAGTGGTGAAAATGACACATAAGGTTTGGAGACAAAAAAAATCCTAACACGCTCTTAATCTTTGACTGAAGGTCAACAGCGTGATAATGAAAAAAACTCACACACTAGCACATAATGATGCTGACATTACGCGGGGGAGGGATGCAAGGATGGTGAGCACCCAGTGACAACACACACAGAGGCACTGCAGAGTTCAGATAAAATCACTCAGTTCAAATAGTTCCCTCTGGAGAGATTCGTACACACTCAGGGGGTGACGAGGACAGCCAAGGATGAATCCAGAGAGTCTTGAAGATGACAGAATGTTTATTCAGCTGGGCCCCTCTGAAAAGTCCATGGAAATTCCTTGGTAGGCAGGTAGGGAGGGGCAGAGCTTCAGTTTTACAAAACTTGCAGGCAGGTTGAGATAAGATGGCCTGTCAAGGCCAGTCAGGAGCCAAATTCAGATAAACACAATTGTTTTGGAGACAGGCAGAACTTTAATGACATATACCTTGAGTCTGTGTTGGTCCACTTGGTTCTGAAATGTCCAAATTAAATGACCACATCAATAGACCGTGCCTAAGAATAATCCCCAAGATATGATCCATTCTGCCAAAAGCATTTGAGTTTGGGTGCTCGAGGCACGAACCAAACCATCATAAGGCAGGCAGCATGATCGGGTCCAGATGTGCTGCCAATGACTTCCTTGATTTTAGATCAACCAGCAACCAGCCGAATCCAAAAAGCAGGAACCACTTATCATGAATCCAATTATAAATGTGTCCTTAAAATCCACAGAGGACAGCAGAGATAGACATGTCATCAAGTCTTCCAAGTCAATGAGATATCCAGCTGCGTGCGTGCCAACAGGGCAAATCGGCTCGCCTAAAGCCTGTCTTCTCTTCAAGGAAATGATGTCAATTGTGTTGAAGGACCAATTGATCAAATCAAGTCCATAATTATGGTTCGGAAGATTTGTAGAAAGAGGCTCTAAAGCAGTTTCACAGACAGGACAGAGCAAAAGCAAAGTGGAGAGGGAGAGGAGGAGACGTCCGCCCTTGAGAAGAGCAAGTGTTGAAGTGATGGTGGAGGAGGAGAAGATGTGGATCCTCACAGACTGTGGTCTATTTGTTAAGAAGTCTAGGGCCCATGTATATATACTATGTGTGTGTGTGTACGCTTGTCTGTTTTGGAGTTATAACCCCCCCTGAACAAAAATCCACCAGTCGCCACTGGATACAAGAGGACAACTTGCAGCAATAGCTCACTTTTGAAGCTACTTTCAGATCTGTCCAGCTTATGAAAAGTGGAACACAAAACCCATAAGAGGTAAAGAAATAATTGTGAAAAAATTCCAAATTAACAAGAATTCATTGAATTTATGTAATACAAAGAAAATATTTCTCAGCATTTTTCAAGCCAAATAATGTTGAGCGTGAAAAAAGAGAAAATTCCAAGAACGTTTCACTGCTGCTTTCTCCAACATGTAGGAGGAAGACGAGCTCAGCATCCACCCAAACAAGCACAAACAGTTTGATTTTCACACTGCAACAGAACCGAGACAAACATTCAAGCTGCTGTCTCCAAAAACAATAAACCCGGGGGTAGAAATGGGCGTCATTACAACTTTTGAATCAGTGTTTTGTTGCAACAGGACATGCCAGAAACAAGGACATCCAACCACCTGTAAAACCTGATCAATACAGTGATTTGCCTTTAGGGTTTAAAAATACACACCCATTGTCATTTCTCAGTGACGTATTCCGAAGTCGAGGACGAAGAGAATGGAGGTCAGTAGGAGATGGAGGAGCATCTGTGTGAGTATGATGTCTTAAAGCCAGTGTGCCATCCTGCTACACCTGTTGGGGCCTAGTTGATCTTTCAAAATTTCAAGAAAATAGTCAAATATTTAGTTGTTATTAAACTTCATTCTGAGTGTTTACAACCAAGTATCCAGTGCACCATGTGGCCTTGTTTTACATGGCAATTTTTTATAATCATGCCTATTTTTGTGTGCACGGCTTGCAAAACTGTATTCTAGATTGTGCACATTATTTTATTTCTCACCTCCTCACATATTGTACTTGCCTCTGCCTGAGCCTCAGCAGCTGGAAAATGACATGTTTGGGAAAGTTTTTAATTAATCATTTATTACTGGAATGACTTGGACCTCTTAGACATTCAGGGCTGTGGCCTTGAAAGCTTTCATTCACAAGGAGAGCTCCCATGCAAGTATCATTACTGCAACTAAACTGAGAAGGGTTCGAGATGCAAATCTCGACAAATCTCCAACTATAGGAAATTTGTTGCAGCAATTTTTGGAACAAGTTCAAAATTTAGGTGACACATCTGTGCGTGGCGCAGCTGTGGCTGAGTTGTTAGAGCAGTCGTCCTCCAATGCAAGAGTTGGGGGTTCAAATCCACCAGCAGTCATATGCTGAAGTGTCCCTGGGCAAGACACTGAACCCCTCACTGCCTCTGATGTGTGTCCCATCAGTGCATGAATGTGATAAAGCTCTGATTAGTCTCTTTAGAAGGATTTGTTCAATTATCTTTGTAGAGATCTAGTATAGAGCTGTATGAATGGGTCAATGAGGCACAGATTGTAAAGAGCTTTGAGTGTCTTGATAAGATGTAAAGGAGCTGTATAGGTACAGTCCATTTACTATTTTACATCTGCATGCCTGTGCGAGTCAAGTAAGAAAGCTGAGAATCTCCACAGTTTCAGTTAACAAGACAAAACCATTTCCAACTAGCCTCCAACAGCTGCAGCCGAGTAAGTTGGCTTAGTTGGACTTCACATGACTGAACTGAGATTTGATATCTTTAACAGCTTTTATATCATTGTTATTTAGGGTTTATGATTTTTGACCCATTTACCAGTGAATGTCTAAACTAGAGTGTGATGGTGTTCTGCAATTTAATTTTTGAGTTCTGTAATGCTACAAAATATTTGCAGATGCACTCTTTGCATTCCTACAGTTTTTTTATTTACTTCTCATCCAGTTTATGCCCACGGTGTTTCTCACTGCTGTAGGACTTGTTTTTTGTTTTCTCCAAAGTGTACACATCCAAACGCTCTTTGACTTCCATTGTATCTGAGCTCTGAATGGTTTCTTTAAAATTAGACATAAACAGTCTTAAACTTGCCACATTTCTACTCTGTGTTTCTGTCTGCCTGTGTTAAGTGTGCTGCAGGAGTGTGAGAGCCACGAGTGTGCTGTTGTACTGAGCCACTGGCATGGATTTTAATATTTCTTTTCATCTTGGTTCTCTTTACACTTCTTACAGTTTAGACATGGAAATGTTGACATCTCTTAAATGCAAAGTCTCAAATTAGAGTTGGGCTTTGGAGAAGAGAGTTGATGGATAACTTTTGGGCAGTAGCTGCAATGACTCCCCTAAAAGTTTGTTCAGAACTTTTGAGGTTCTCTATTTGATTCGACCAAACTCCCTCAAGAGCTTACCTGTACTGGATTTAATGGTTTCCTGTCCAACAGATTGACCAAGCAGATCATACTGGTTCAGACGAGAGCTCTCCTTTTCCACGACCACAGAGTCCGAGGCATTTAGAGTCCAATCATAAGTCACTTCAGAGATGGTGTAGGCGTCTAAAAATAAGAATAAAGAGAAGCCCATAAGGGGATAAATCTGGGACAGCTATCAATTTTGTTTCAATGACCCAAATTAAATATCTCCAACACATCATGTTTGATACATATTGGGTTTTTAGAAGAAAAAAATTCTGCACAGAGTAAAAAATAAAAACAAGCAGTACATAGTCTCTGTACTTCTCAATAACTTACAGAAGTTGGGATGTAAAAATGAAGTCTATGTAGTTGAACAAAAACTCCTTAGATTTTTTTCGAGTTCATTAAATATATTGACATCTTGTGTTTATGTTGTGCAATAGGCTTCCTGTTACAAAAGGGCAATAAATAAGCAGAAATAAATGGGACAAACTCTAGGACACCACAGGAACGCACTGAAAGCTTATTGAGCATTTAGTTTATTTTAGAGGTCAAGCCGTTTTAGACGTGACCGACAACTTTTTAATGCTCTGCGCAAAACTAACTAACTAACCCTTGGTTTTTAAATCAGGTGTTTGTCTTGGAAAAAAAACCCGTATAGCATAAATAAAGAAATAAAGAAAGAAAATTTATCAAACTGTAAAAAAGCCATAGAAATAAAATCTGATAAAAGAGTTCAAGTTCCCAAACAAAAAGTCACAGTTAACCAGTCTGAAGAAATTCCAAGTTCAAACATAGATGCACAATTTTACTCACTGACAATAAAAGTTAATTACTCAGAAAGAGTTGTGGAAATAAAATGAAACTACATATAATAAAAGGTCACGTGACTGTAATAATTCCAGTATCAGATCACATAAATAAACAGGTGGCAGTACAGACACACTGCTGATCCCAGGTCAGGTAGGGGTGGCACCCCTTAAGGCCTGGATACTGGAGGTGATTTAGTTTAGAACAAAATCATACAGCTGTTGTATCCCTTCTTACTATAAGTCAGCCCACAGCTGTTTTACCTGGCCCTCAAGATCAAGAGGACCATGGGGGAGTGGGCGTTGATGTCCAGGCTGATATAACATCTTTATTTGGGACAGATCAGGGGTACTGGGGTAAGATGTATAGACACAAGGTCTGAGTGATGCAGCATTGTCTGGCCAGGTGCACAGATCACTACCAGAGATGACCTGAAGTCACAACCTGTGATGCACCACACCATGAAACCAGGAGTGACACAAGTGTCGCTCAACATTGGTAGGATTGGTCCTCTTCTTTGTGCACCACCATAACTTAACATAAGGCTCAGTTGTGGTGATTGAGAACCAGGATCCACAGCTGAACACAACACCCAGCCCCTGCTTCCAGGTACAACCCACAATGTGGCCACTGTTAAACTCAGTCTTGTACTAGTAATGCTGTAATAAGGTATTCTCTATGTCTGCTGATCTTCACTCATTCCTTTGACCAACTGTCAGAGCCTCTGGCAACTACCTGATAACACTATCACTTTACTAGTGAAACTGCTACTTGTGCACTCTTTGCACCTTCTAGAATGAGCCAGCGTAATGCAAATCAAAGATGTTACATACCAATCAGTGGTCTACATGTGGACCAAATGTTGTCCACCTCAGACCACTCCCTCTGGGCGCTTAACATTTGTTTGTCAGTGAGAGAAATTGTAGGGGCACTGCCATCAAACTAAGCCATGCAGTGGAGCTTCACTCAGTCCTTAGGCTGCCCTCTTGCCAAAGAACTAGTGAGGAGAAGAAGAAAAGAAAAAATGCATTTTACTTTAAGTTCCCTCAGGCACTAACGTCATCAGAGTTACTCACAGCTGCCAAATTTTAGTGGACAGGAATGAAAGTCCATGGGGAAATCCTCCAGATGCATTGGGCACTCTGCATGCACTGTTAACCTGCATCCAATTCACAGAACAGTATCCAAAATTTGCAAATGCACAAAGAGTAAAAAGCAGACATTAAAAACAAACAAAAAAGTCTAAAAGCCTCATGCATCATTCAAGACGCTCAACTTCTATAATGCCTTGAAATGGGAATATTCTTTGTAACTAGTAAAGCAAAAAAAGGATGCTGTAGAAACTAAAAAATAAATAAATAATTCCGTCTTTATGTTAATTAAAACATTAAAAAGCCTACTCAGTATATGTACAAAATGTACATATATACACCATTAAGGAATCATGATCTACACTATTAAGGGAATTAAATTGGTTTTTGTCAAATTATTTGTAAAAGAAGTTGCATAAAACAGGTTGCAAGAAAAATATAAAGGAATTGCTTGGCACATTTCAAGAGTACTCAAAAGTCTAAATTTCAAAAATGAATCGGAAAACAACAAAAAAATTGACCTATATTTTGGTTTATATTTTATCTGAAGATTTTCAGCTTTAAATAAAGGTCCATTTGTTTTGTTTTATAAGTTTTTTCTTGTCTTGACTTAAAAAAAATGCCCTGTCCTGGATGACTGAGGATCTGTGCCTTCAAAACTTAAAGCCAGAAAAATACTGGAACGCCCTCTGAAAGCACGACTTTGACTTGAAATGATGGAGATTCCCTCCAACCACAACCTTCAAATCCAGCATGGCTGCCTCACACATAAAAAGCTGCCTTGATGAACTTTTTTCACGTTTGTCACTTCATTAGTCATTAAATGAATTGCAAACATGGTGGTGTACAACATCCATTTAGAAATATGTTGCTACATTGTTTGGATTAATAGCATAATTAGCTAATCCTACTGATATATGTTATGTTTATTTGTCATATGCAGGTCAACAACAGGTCAACAATGCAATGAAATGTTCAGGATAAGAACCATTTCATATATAACTGCAACTTGGGAAAATGTCTATTCCAAATTCAAGTTCTGACTTGTCTTGTTAACTTTAGCCTAATAAATGCTCTGTCTGAGTTGTCACCCTTCATTTCTTTTTATTTTACTGGTAACGGTTGACATGCCTCCTGACATTTAGCTAATAAGATGTAAGGTGCTCCTGTCGGCCCAGTCTGCAATAGGTAAACAGTGGGACTAACTCTTTAGCTTAGCACAACCAAAACAGCTCATCGTGCTCTCGTCAAACAGGTGCACAACAACAACACTTGTAACAATTATTAAATGCTCTGAAATTTGCTTAAGAATATCTACACCTTCAATTGTTCAATGGATTCAGGTTTGTTCAATTTATGCAAAAGACCAAAACAGAAATACCATTTTCTCTGTAATTGTAAACAAAGTTTAAATATGCTAGGTGATTAGGTTAACAGGCTCGTGCATGTTGCTCAGTTTGGCTTGTATGTTAACAAATTGTACAAAGTATTACTTTGCTCTATTTATCTTGAACGTCAGAAACAGGATCTAAGAATGACATGACAACATTTAAAAATGTTCTATGGCTAGTTTAAAAGTTTAAAATAAATAAATAAATATATATATATATTTTTTTTTTTATTTGTGGCCTATTATCAAAGCAGGTCAGAAACTATGTGACAGCAAAAGTACAATAGTTTAGTATGCTTAAATAATGTGATATATGTGGACAGATGTAAACAAAGATAATATGTATATATATTACTGCAGCTTTCCCCAGTTTTCATGGTCTAACCAGCATATTGGGTTTTGAGGTGTGGACTGGTGAGAAATTGACTAAAAGTCAGAAATATAACTTCTGGGGGCATTCCAGTTGATATTTTTTGACCAAAAAAACTGAAACAGTCAACTTCTGAGTACAAACAATGCAAAATATTGATCTACATTTGTCATAAATACAAATATGTCAATTTTTGGGGAAATAAAGATGCTATTTTTATTACCTCATGGTATACAGCAGTGTCCCATCATCTTTGATCCTTAACAGTTTATTGGGCATGGTCATGTTATGAGCCACAGACTTTTTTCCGTTGTGGAAGAAGGTGTCTGGAGTCCAGATTTTACTCGCCATGAGGTTGTTCAAGGGCAAAATGTTCATTGGACCATGAAATATCAATCTCTCGTCTTTCCAGCTTTGCCGGAAGAAAACATCAATGGTGTACTCCTGAAGACAGAGGAGACACATCTGTCAAGTTGTGTTCATGAGCTCTTCTTGTTGTTATTGCTTTTTTTCTCCATGTATAAAAATAAGTCCCATTTCTGTTTAAAAAAAAAAGAAGAAAAGAAAGTCAGTGCACTTTCCACTCATGTTTTATGAATATCTATAAGCAGCCACATCACAACTGACTTCAGCTGCCGCTTTAAAACCGTTCTCTATTTGACAAAGCTCCATCAAGGTGAAGGCCATGCTCTCCGATTTCCTCCCCGCTTCCTGAGTTGGTTTCTTTTTTTAGCAGGCTGTGGGGCTCCGACAAGCCTTTGGCCTAAAAATCCTTTACTGTCAAAAGAAACACCCGAGAAGATTTCAGGTGGACATCCCTGCACTGTGAAATGAGTGTATGTGTGCGAATGAATGTGTTTGTGTGATTCACGCAAAGCATGTGAGACCGAGAAAGTTGTTTTCTCTCCGTTCTTGCTCTGACATTTACATTTCTGGACAGGTATGGAAACCCAGTCATATCAAACCATAAACTAATTATTTACAACAGATTAGAAAGGACTGGCTATTTTGATTTGTTCTGTAAACTGGGAAGATTAGGACCAAAGAGTTTGACCTTAATCTTACTGTTTATTGTGTTCCATTTTTCATGTAATTCCTGCAATAATTTGTATTTGTAAGTCTAAAAATATTAAGTCTGGTCCTCTGGACATTCAAAAAACAAAACAAAGCAAAACAAAACAAAAAAATGTAGAAATGTTTTGTCTTTTGGATGAAAGACAAAACATTTCTACATTTTTTGTTTTGTTTTTTGAATGTCCAGAGGACCAGACTTAACTTTTTTAGATTTTTCTACCTGGGTTATTGAGCATGCATCAGGATATTGTATTTGTAAGAGTATCACTGATTGTAGCTCCTCGTTCCAAGATGGTCACTAATTGCCACCAGCTGTCGACCATTCCCCTGATTAGGACTTACACTATATACGGCTGCAGTCCAGTGCTACTCTTCGACGGAGCATGAGCCTTCAGTGGTATTTGTGCCTCCGGCCTGTATATTTACTGCTAGTAAATTTACTTATCTGATCTCTCGTCTCTTGTTATCCAGTCTCCTCGATCCTGGTTCGGTCCTGGTTCTCCTCGGTCCTGCCTTGGTCCTTCCTGGACCAGTCCTGGTTCCCCTTGGTCCTGTCTTGGTCCTCGGCCCTGTCCCGGTTCCCCTGGTCCAGTCTTGGTTCTCCTCGTGCTTTGCCTTCCAACAGTTGCCTGTCTTCTCTATCCCACCCGACAACACTGGCTTCTCATCCCTCTCCCCTTGGATCTGGATCCATGCCCTCACACCTCATCCAACCTGTAAGAAAAGACACTCATCAAAATATTATCTCACCCAATCCACTCTATCGAACTCTCCTGATCATCTCCTTCTTCCCCAGGAGCTCCAGAGGATCAACTGTACATTTTCTCACTGTAAATAATGAACACTGTTACCTTTGTATTCACCGAGTCTTGTCTCGTTCCGGATCTTGTACCACTCTCGGTTCCCCGAGAAATAACAGAAATGCTCCAGCCAAATAAGGCCCAGAATGAGGCCACAGCGAGCAAGTTCTCGCTACCTCCCAGGTGGAATGAATCAACAAATCGGAGAAGATGCTGCAGTAGGTTCTGATTCAACAATGAGTCATGCAGTCAAACCTGCAGTAACTCAGAGATATGTTTTTTTCCCGTTAAACAACAGCTCCCACCTCCTTCTCCCACAGCGTCGCCTGCTTCATCAGTCCCCAGTACAACCAATGAACTTCCTGGGTCTGTCACCGCTGCATAACAGTTAATTGTGAAACCCTCCGAGCTCTTCTCTGGTGATCCGGACCAATGTGGAGGTTTTCTCCTTTAATGCAGGCTTGCATTCAAGGGATCTCCTTCTCTCTATGCCTCAGATTCAGCTAAAATCACTTACTTCACCAATCAGCTAAAAAGAAATGCACTCCGCTGGGCCAATTCCTTTTAATAGTTCCATGACTTGTCCTCTGTCTCTTACAAACAACTTTTAAAGGCGTTTTGTAGGATTTTTTTGACCACCCTCTACAGGCACCGAATGCTGTAAAATTACTACTTATCCTACGTCAGGGCCAGCGAACAGTCTCAGAGCACACCCTATAGTACTGGATCCTTGCCACCCAGACCGGCTGGAATGAGCTCATACTACAAGGTACCTTCCTAAATTTTTTATCTGACCCCGTCAAAGATCAGATTGCAGCTCGAGACGAACCAGTGAGTTTCGACCAACTGATCGACCTGGCTATCACTATCGACGACCGCTTCCGGGAGCGATGGATAGAATAGGACTACAATTCCCAGAGACCTCCCACTTCCAGATTCGCGACTTTGCCAGGTGAGCCCCATGCATACAAACAGTCTAAAGAGAACTACAAGTCCCAGCCACCACCTGTTTCCGGTTTTGCCACGTCACCATTGGTTCCAATGACATGCTCCCCTGCTTTACCAGAACTTGAACCCATGCAAGTTGGGCATGCATGCTTATCACCCGAGGAAAGACAATTGCGCAGAGACTCTAATGTTTGCATTTATTGTGGTAATCCTGGACATTATCTGCTTCGCTGCCCGTTTCGGGGAGAACGAGAACTTCCGCCAGTGAAAAGGGAGATACTGGTGGGCACCATAGCTCGATCCTCCCCATTCAGACTTTTGTTACCAACCATGATTAGAATAAGTCATAATGACCTGGCTATGTCTGCCCTGGTGGATTCCGGGGCAGAACAAAATTTAATATGCATGAACCTTGTTAAAAAATATTCCCTCCCCACTCATGAGATTTCCCCTGTTTCAATTGCTGGCGTCACTGGAGAAACTCTGGCTCAAGTTAATCTTAAAACAGTTGAGTTACATTTAATGTAATGAGATGAATGACTTCTTTTTTTTCCCCTTGTCCTGTCTGGCATTTTGACACAGAATTATTGTCTGAGTGTCAAAGTGATGCCCAACAGATTTACTTTCACATGCACAGCATCATGGCTGGCCTTAATGCTCCACTTGATATATAAATTAAATTTTATTAGAATATGCTTTGGGTTTGTTCCAGATGTAATGGACACGGGGACAGAAAACAAAGAAGATAACAAAGCAGAAAAGTGAGAGAAGAGTTAAAATGTAAAGAAGGAGATAGGAATAGAGGAGAGAGAGAGGGATAAAGAGAACACAAATCAACATAATTGAAGTCTGCCTCTAGACCTGCGGAAAGAAGAAAAAAAAAAACGACAAAACCGAGAAACCACAACAACAAACAACTTATATAATGATACTCATAACATCATTAGAAAGTATTTTATACAGTACATGGTAATACAATATATATTTGATGGCCACCACAACCCAACTGAGTGTGTATCTGATAAACACCTGAATCTACACGCCTGTGTGAGCATGCTTAACACTATAAGGTTTCTCCATAAAAATGTTCAATAGTGGATGTGGGGACCCATAAACCCATCCCCACAGGACACGAAGGTAACACAGGGAAGACCGTAACCACAGACACACATCGGTCCCCAAGCACAGAACTCCGGGAGTCCCCCAACAGGGACACCCGCACCCCCAGAGAGAGAAGAAAAGGGAAGCCCCGGGCGATCCCTAGCAACCACAATGCAGAAACCCCCAGGAGGCCGTAGCGACGAGTCAACAGGCCCCGTTGGCAACCCGTCCCTCCAGAGTGGATCCGGCCATGGACACCAAGCCCAGAGTCCCGAGGTCATACCTCCCCCCAACAGAAGCCCGACAGAGCCAGGGCACCCAGGCCCCCACAGGCAGCCACCAGGGCGGGCCTGCACACAACCCAGCCCCGGCTGCTGAGAGCCGCCAATGCACCGGCGGCAGGGGCGCCCACCACCGGAGGGGAGCATGACACACCAAATCAGGGGCCAAAACTGATCCAAGAGAGGGGGGCCACCCAAAATCCAACCTGAGACAAACAGACACACAGAGACAGCCCGACAGAGCCTCTGTCAGGCTGTCCATTCGCCCCACCTGCCTAACAGTGACCACAAGCCAGCCCCAGGCCGGGGGCCAGAGCAGCAGGGAGCAGCAGCTGAGGAAGGCCGGCCCAGCGCACCAATGCATCCCTAAAGCCCCACACCACAGGCCCGGAGAAGCCCCGGCATGCCCCCCATCCCCCCCCCCCCCCCCCACACACACACACACACACACACAGCACCCCGCACCGTGAATGTCACATCAGGCCGACCAGCCAGCACCCCGTCGAAGTGAAGCCACGACCCTGACCGCCGCCATGCACTACCAATGACCACACACACACAACCACAGCCAACCTCTCGCCAGAAACCGGCAGCCACCTTAGCCAAAGGGCTGGCCATCGGAACCAGGAACCCTGATCAAAAGATCCAAACAATGTAGAGAGAACCGGAGCACAAGCCCCACCCCAATCGTCCCCAAAGGTCCAATATCCACCCACAGCCCAGACCCCAACCAGGCAACCTACCCCCCCCCCCCCACGCCCCAACCCCAAATGTCAGATGGAGAATGAGGGTTTAAGGAAAACTGGAATACCCAGCTCCTACATTTAATGTAATGAGATGAATGACTTCTTTGTGTTTGAATCACCCATCACACAGCTGATTCTGGGTTACCCTTGGCTTAAGAGCTACAACCCGGACATAAACTGGGAATTCAGGTGAGTAAAAAAGTGGAGCAACAAGTGCCTGAAGGACTGTTTACGCTCCGTGATGTCTTGTTGCCCACAGAATGATCCACCAGAGGAAGAGATTGACGTTTCTTCCATTCCTCCTGCTTACCATGACCTCATGCCGGTGTTAAGTAAGCAAAGAGCCCTATCTCTCCCCTCTCATCGCCCATATGATTGTTCCATTGATTTGCTCCCAGGCGCTCCCTTGCCTTCAAGCCGACTGTACAACCTCTCTGGACCAGAGAGGGAGTCAATGAAGAAGTATATTAATGAATCCCTCAACTCAGGTATCA